GTGACACAGAGAGAAGGGCGTGTGTGACTTTCAGGCTGAGTGGCCACAAGTGTGCTCCAAGCGTGAGGCCCCTGGAGGATCAGGAAAGAGCCAAGGGTGGGAAGGCAGGGTGGGCCCAGGGACTCCAACTGTACTTTTGCTCCTGGTTCCACAGACAGGGTCAAGCCCAGTTTTGTGCATTTATACCTGATCTGCCCTTTTAGTGAGGTCCAAGCTATGTGCAGGGTGATGGCTAAAAGAGAATATATGCTTTCCACGATTTTTAGAAATACTTGGTACTAAAAAGTTAGGTTGGAATCCAAAATCATTTGCCTTCTCCTAAGAAATTTCAACATTATATCTGTCAGTGAAAGAAAATAATAGCTGTAAGATTCTTTAAATATGATTTCAATTGCAGAAACTTCTGAATGGCTATAAAATAGGATTTAAATTTTCTATCATCTACTTGTTCTCACAAAGCATCACACAGTTAGCAACTGTCAAGACTTTGGAGAGACCATTGACCAAGAATTACAGGTCCCTATTTCTAACATAAAACCTGATAAAAAGAAGTTATGTGTGAATTTACACTACTTATTAAAATACTTGAAAATATTTTATTTAGAAATTCTATATAAATTCAATGCTTAGTATTCTTCCCAATACTTTTTATTTTCTCTTCTTTTAATACTAAGGATATATATTGAATTTTTTCACAAAATTCTATATAGATGCCCCCCAAATCCTATCTAATTTGCCCATGTACCATATAAAGTGGGAAAAGATGAGAAGCACGTATCCAGCTCAACAGAGCTGATTAAGAAAAGCTAAGGTACCCTGACGGGCAGCTGGGGAAGGATATTCCCACATTCCATGCAGTATGTCTTTGTATCACAAACGTCTATTATGTTTGACTTTTATTAGAAGTACATCCTTTAATAAAGTGGATTTCCTTCCTTAGTACAATTTTAAAAACAGATTTTTCCCCTCAACAGATCAGCTTCAAATTTTTTTTAACATTTTCCTAACATGTAATTATCATCTTCCAAAGACCCAGAAGTGCTGTCAATGTGACTGAAATCAGAATGTAAATATTTTATACACAGCTGTCAAATCTCAATTGGCAGAAAACAAAAAGCCCCCAAATTGCTGTAATCTAACCACAGGGCTACATCATTTAATTGACAGATAAGACATTTTTCTAGATTCCATTTTCCCATCAGCATTATAATACACTAGCACGGTGTGCCATTCTGGAGAGTCACTGTGACAATTTACTTGAAGATGGAATAAACTCTGAAACGCTCTAAGGGAGATGCCGAGCACAGTAACTGAATTCTGTTTCATGGAACGTTTTTTACACTCACTGTATTTGGAATATCTGTTACAAACACGGACTAAATATTGGCATCATGGGAATATTATCATGCCCTTTCTTTTTTTTTTAAAAAAAGGCCAAATTTTGTTCTTAGCAGTTCAATAATTTATTATTTCATCCTTTTGGGCCTTGATTCAACAAACATTTCTGATTGTCTCTGTGCCAGACTTAGCTAATAAATCTAGGTAAGATTCCAAGAACTGTGCTCTGTCACCCATCATCATAGATCAGAAATGCTGCTAGTAAAAACACCTGACATGGTCCCTCCCAAGGCCTTCCTGCTATTTTCACTGTTGTTTGTCTCTCTTCTCAGATTTGTTTTTCATCTTTCCCTCCAAGAAATAGACACATCTAAGCAATAGACATGTCAGGGACATCTATAAACATTGCTTAATTTCTGTTGGATATTTGACCTATGGCATGTTCTGCCTCTACATTCATTCAGCAAATATTTACTAAGCTTCTTGCATGGAACAGCATCATGGTTTTGGCAGTGAAGAAGACAGACAAGGCCTTGCCCTCATGGAGTTTAGATCATTCCACAGTGAGAGATAAAGAAGAAACTGTAAACAAATATGGGAACTCTTCATGTCTTGCTAAATTCCTTAAGCTATATAAGTATTTTCTCCAGATGGGGACATTTTAATATACCTTAAAAAAATAAAACTTGTAGTTTTTCAAAGGAATTAAATTTGGGTGCCTGATATAGGGCTCACTTTGAGAGAATGGTTAGGGAAGGCCAACGCAGCCGAAACTTGATTTGGAAGGGCCAGGCACAGAGCACCGCAAGCCAGGGCTCTGGGGGGAAAAGAAGACAAAGAAACATTCAAGGAACAGAAAAAAAGACAGGGACACTGGAGTGGAGGAAGCGAGGGAGAAGGGGTATAAGTAGAAACCAGATTGTGTTGGATGTGTAAATCATGGTAGTGCATTTGGGTTTTACTCTAAATGTGGAGGAGGGAGTTGAAAGGTTTTGAGGTCTCAAACAGGAGAGTAACAAGCTCTGGTCCAGGTTCCCCTGTCACTGGTGTACACAGAATGAATTCTGGAATGGCAAGAATGGAAGCCAGGAGACCAGCAGGAAGCTTATGCAGTTGTCCAGGCAGGACAGAATGATGATTTGGAGTAGGGTTGTAAAGGAAGAGACAGAAAGAGATTAAGAGATTCAGGATGTGTCTGAAAAAAAGGAAAGGAAGAGAAAAATAACTGATAAATCTTAGGTTCAGCGGCCAAAAAGAAAGTTTGGCTTTAGTAGACACAGCATTTCTCTGCTTAGCAAAAGAGATCCAAGAAGGTAAGCTATTATTTTCTACTAAGAAACTACCAGAATTTCTTACACCCTCAATTTACAAATAAAGATCAAAGGTCTAGGGAGGTGAAATGGCTTTCTTAAACCTCAAAAGAGCTGGCTGTCACCTGCATTTCCGTCTTATATTTTCCAGCCCAGAGACTTTCCCATTATCCCACACCTCTTCCCCTGTCACAGCTTAGTACCACATTCAATACCTTGCACGACTTTCTTTGCAAAGGAATTTCTATATATAATTCATCTTTTACCTGAATTTTTTTTTCTGAACCTAGAAAGTATGAGTGAAGGAATGAAGATTGTTAGCAGGAGAATATTTAATATCAGGACTGTAGATTAGAAGCTGAGTTTTGGTGGCCATACTTAGACCATTATCTCTAAACTTTTATTTCAAAAGAACAAAAAACAATAAAAGAAATGTGGAATTAATATTTCCTTCACTTGCTTTCATAAGCAATTCCAATTTATCCTGATTCCCCAAACCAGAGTTTTCCCTTTCCTTTTTTTATTTTTAAATATGGAATAGCTTCAGTTTACTTAGTTTTATAAACAGATAATCTAATGGAAATTCTGTGTTACTGCAGAACATTCAAGGGGTTGGTGAACTGTTGATGTCACTGACTAGTTATCAATATAATCAGCAACCACACAGGCTCCCAGCATGATATTCTCAGGACAGCACTGAGCCAGCAGAGTACAGAGAAGGGCAACTGACGGGTCCAAGATCAAACCTCAACTCTGGCGCTTATTATCATAGGACAAAGTTCTTAACATCGCAAAGCATCAGTTTCCTTATCTGTAAAATGGGGATAATAATACTTACTTGAAGGCACTTCATGAAGAGTAAATTAGGTATAGGTGCGTATCTAGTACAATGCCCAGCTATGAATGCTAGTGAACTGGCTGTATCTGCAAGTTTGTTTTACCTTTCTGCTCCAATATCCCTGGCTGTAGCTTTTGTCCTTGTGGTTACAAGATGAGGGCTGTGCTTTACATTAACCATGTTTTTTATTTTCTGTTTTTTGTGATGCTTTGATATCTTAAAAGCTTACTGGCCAGGGAGAGACTGCCCCTCCCAGGGCTAGCCAATTCTTAGAGACAACAAAGGGTCTGGCCTAGAGCACATCTTTCATGTGTAACCCAAACAATCCTGAGTCTGTAGTCCCAACCACCCTCTTTCCCAACTCTCACACACCAAGCCAATTTTTGCCCTGCCCCAAATCAACCCAGTGCCAGGCACCAGGCAACCAGAGACCACTCCTATAGCCCAGAGCCCACTGACATTATTCTAACTGGCCAGTCCTAAGCTGTTTACCCTGCCTTGCCTTGCTTCTCCTGTGGAAACTCCCAATAAAGACTCTGACCTAGGCTTTTTCCTCATTCCTGTCTTCTGCCTCCTGACCAAACCTGGTGCTTCCCCACGTGGTCCTGGGTGGCTTGGAGTGCCCCCTTCTCTCAGGAAACATAAGTAATAAATTCTTCTTTCAATGGCATGGACCTCTCTGAGTGGTCATTCAGTTACTTCCATAAACTAAAATCCTGCAGCTTTCCAGGTAGGAAGATGGGGTAATAACAAAGGAAAACATTCCACAAATATTCTCTTGAAGTCTACTCTTTTGGTTCAGGAAGGAAAGCCCTCCCAGGCCCAACACCTAGAGCTCATTAGCCGGAATCGAGTCACGTGGCCTCAGTAAAGGAGTCTGGGAAGGCAGAGATTTTTAAACTGGATACTTTACTGTCCTTCAAAACATGAGAAATTTTCTTTTTTAGGAAGAAAGGAGGGGAGAATAGGTATTGGGTTTTTGCACTGTTTGCTGAATAGAAAAAGTATTACTAATGATAACATTTAAAAAGGATTGAGCTTTTCCACGTGTTGCTCTTTCTTTGTATTCACAATCAGATTTTGTACAGCATTCTGAATAAGGCAATATAAATCAAAGGATGATATTTAAGCTTCTATGAATTAGACAAAGTATAAGGTCTTATATACACTAAAAATTCAAACATTTTGCACTTTTTAAAAAAACCATATTGCTACAATTAAGATACAAATTACAAATGAATATTTGAAACAAAAATCAACTTATTTCATATTTCAACAAATATTCCTTCATTGTAATTCTGAATCTGATGAGCAAATAAGCAAAAAAGTATCTTTATTAAGACAAAAAAATAGAGCATGACTATATTTATATTAAGATGCACACAGTAGCAATTATAAACTGTATTGAAAAACACAAACTTAGAAATTCCTATTCCTCATTAATCTGTTCTTACAGATCAAGGTATAAACTCTTTTTTTTAAAGCAAAGACTTTAACTCAAAAAAAGATCTTACCTTAGCGTACCTTAGCAGAAGTTCCAAATGTCATTTATTTGGCCTCTAATCAGAACACAGGTGCTAGAAGAGAATAAAAAAATGGTGTTAACATATAGCCAAGAAAGTCAATAAGTTACACAAAATGACTTGAGGAAATGTAAGAACATCACAGAATTTTCTGCATAGATCATGGTGCCTAACCACCTCACGTAACCGATGAGGACACAGATGGTCCGAGAGTTAAGGTACCTGTCATTGGCAAAAGAAACACATCTATCGACTTCTGATGAAAGGAATTTTGGAAAGTTCCACTCCACATACCTGCCAAAGCTCCAGTCACAATGAAGCGATATAAAGTAAGAAGAAAGGAAACCAAAACAAAAGGATTTGCTCATTCCTTAATGTTACATGTTAGCGATGGTGCCTTCCTTTTTTAGCGAGTGAGTTAGTATTGTGTACTTTCAAAGAGAAGTCAAGGGAATGATCCCTTAGAAGTTCCAGTGTGCTATCTTCTCCCAGACACTATTGGACGAATACACATAGCGTTATCTTATGATTAGTCCAGTTCCCATACAAGGATAGAACCCAATCTTAAAGAAAATGTCCTAACACCATTTTAGAAACTGACATTCACATTTTTAAAGCATACAGAGCCTGACAGTTAGGCCAGAGCCTTAGGAAAGCACCTCCTTTAGAAGGCTGATCTGGAGAAAGAAAAAGAGGCACCAGGTTCCATGAAAGGAGAACGAGGGAAGTGTGTTCTTGTGAAGGATGTCGCTGAGGACAGAGGGTCAGGAAGAAACAGTAAGTGCTACGGAAGAACTTGAGGATGAGACCTGATAAGATATTATTTGATTTTTAAAAGGAGGACCTTGCAGTTTCTAGAATGATGAAGGTGAAGTCAGATGACAAGAGGACAAAAAGAGGCTGTGAGGCGAGAAGTGGAGGGACTCCAGGGGCACGTGTGGAGGGATTTCCTCAGCAAGGATGAGAGGACCTTAGTGCAGCCTCCAAGAGTATGATCTGCAACAAGATAAGTGCAGAGATGGAGAGAAACATTTAATTACAATTAAAAAATAGATTTGTATTTTGCTTTTTTTTTAAAAGCATTAATCTGCAAAGGATTGAGAAAAAAGGAAAGAAAGAAAAGTCACTGGTCCTTCATCAGTTTGAGAAGCACTATCCTAGAGAACATCAGCCACTCTTCATCTCAATATCCCTTACTCCTTTCTTTAGGGGCTCTCCCGCTATTCCTTACAGTGCTAGAACTATCAATCAAGGGACCTTCTCCTACTTATAGCAAAAGGAGGACATCTGACCCATGCGAGGCCTCTTAGACTGCTCCTCTTCCAGGAGCCCAGGTCAGAAGAGTGTGTCCTAAAGAAGGAAATGGCTGGAGCTGATCATTTCATGAGATCCATTCACGTTATGCATGGGGAAACTGACGCTGGGGGTGTAAGTGAGCAGATGTCACTTGAATCCAGACTGTCTGACTCTTTCCACTAGTTGTCTTGCCTCTTTTAGACACCGGCATCTCCTCAGGAAATAATACCTACACAATTGGAACTTGAAGAGAAAATTCAACAGTGTTAACACTCACATTCCTTCTAGAGGAAGTGATGGGTAAGTCATCAAACAGTATATCAGTGGGAGGATACGGGCATTTCTGTCCCTCGTCTCTAACAAATAGATGTTTTCTGCCATATGAGGCTTGCCAGCCAGTGAGCCTAGAATTCATCTTTCACCATAGATTCCTATAGAACCCAAGAGCCACAGGGGGAGTACTTAGTGAATTCCACCGAGGCAGCTGTCACTTCTCTTATCATAACCTACTAAGTGTCTTGCACATAGTGGTTGCTCAGTAAGTATTTGTTACATGAATTTTATCATTAAAATGAACAAGTATCCAGATCATATTTGCCTAACTTACAATTAGGAGGTCCAACACACCTACATATTGAGATTCAGGTCATTTTAAGTAAGTAAATACATATCACTCAATAATATAAAATTGTTGTACCATTAATGAATAAAGTAGAAATACACACTGTTCAGACATTAAAGTGTCTGCTAAGAAAAATACCTTGTTCACTAAATGAATTGGAGAATAATAACTGAGATATAACACTCTGAAGTTTCTCGAAGTTTCTCTAATTTTCTCTAGTATTAGATGCAGCAAAGCATTCATTTTGAAAACCAGCAAGGGAACTGGCTTTCATCCTAGCTTCAAATTCATTCCATTGCAAATTAATTGCACACGACATTCATTTAGGGCTGAGCTTCAAATCTCTAAGTATAGATGACAGGTTCCTCCAGATCCCAGTAAACATGGTTTGAAAGGTTACATACTCAAAATACGATTGGCGATTCCAGAGACTGTTGTCATGATTATGCAGTTAGCCAGATAAAGAGGAAAACAATGCCAGAGACAGAATAATAATTATGGAAGGCCAGATGACAGGTTTCTTTCAATAGGCTAGCAAAATATTACTTTGATTTAGGATGTATATAGCTAAGTGTAGACTCTTTCATTAATGTCTTTAAAGCAGTAATTTCTCTCTGTCAGATAGTTGGGTGTTTATGGAATACTGATTCTGAGAAGAGTATTCCATGAGGGAGCAGTTTTGGACTCTTAGTATGATAATCTGAACAGTCCTATTTCCTTAAAACTTTACCTAAAAATTATATTTTCCTTCTTTCTAATTATTTGAACATGCATATTGCTCTTTTCTTAGGAAAAAGCAAAGCATTGGAGCAGATGTTTTGCAATCTAAGTGGGTGATAAACGAGTCTGTAGCCATCTGATTTGGACAGCGTTATACCTGCTCTCAGTCTTGAAATAAATAAGCTTAATTAACTAATTTAACTTTTTGTCTTCAGCTGAAATTAGATCCCAGACTCTTAGTGAGGACCTAGAATATTCCCCTTTTTAAATTTCACAATATATCTTTAGTTTTTTAACCTGCCTTATTGAAGGCTAAAATAACAAGTGCTTTGACAAACTTGAGCCTGACAGTCTGTTTTAGGGGAATAGGATAAATATAGTTCCAAAAATGTATATATTATGCCGTCTGGTTTGCATTAATTTCTTATTCAAAAACAGCATTCACTAAATATCTGTGCTCATTCAGATTCGTGTTGTACTCTGATCTGTTCCCATCAGAGCCCGTCTTCTCACTTTTAGCCATTCCATCTAGACAGGGAGAGACAGAACCAATTAAAACACAAAACAGCTCTTAGGAATGAAATCATTCATTCCTTTGTTATTATTCCCAATTTGGAGATAAGGCTCAGAGATGAAATAACTGTCTCAAAGTTCCCTGGTAAGTAATTGATAAAGTTGATATACAAACTTGGATCCTTTTCATTTCAAATCCCACATAATAGTAGTAGTAACCACAACAGCAACAACAAATATTAACCTAATGCTCACCTCATCCTAGGCACTATTCCAAGCCCTTTACATACACCTGATCATTTAATCATCACAGCCTATCTATTGCTACCCACATTTTATAGATGAGGAAACAAATGTCTGCTGTCTCTGTAGGGGAACCACAGCTCTACAGGGATTATTGAGACAAAACTTGGTGCTGCTTCATCTTTTTCCATTTATGATTCTCCTTCTCTGTCCATTCCTTCTTAGTTTACTTCATCCAAGTGACAGAACTGACACAACTCCCAGTTTGACCCACTTTGGGGGTTTGCTGTCAAGGAGTGTTGCCACCACCCCTGAGTGCAGTGTCTGAGGAGACATTGCAAACCCAGAATAATGTCCAGTGAGACAGGGTGGTTGATGGAGAACACAACCTCTGAAGTCTTCCAGGGTTCTGTACTTGTCATCAGGATGGTAACAGACTCAGTGGTTCATCTAAGCTGACAAGACCTCAGCCAGTGGCTGGGAACATGGGCAAGGTTCAGTATTCTGATGTGAGTGGACTAGAAACGATGAAGCAGAACACTCGGTCCTTCACCTTCAGAGGAGGTGTGCTGGGGTGGAGGCTGGGTCTACTTTAATCAAGAATTAGGAGAGCAAACCAGGATTCGGGGAAGATGAACTACAAACACTGACTCGCCAAGGCCCATCCCAGATCTCTTGGAAGTTACACAATTCCCAGAAGCCACCAAGTGGAGGAGATGAACCTCCGTATTAGCTGCACAGAGACGGGCAGGGCTGAGGCTTGCGGGCTGACAGTTTTCCATTCTTACAGCTCCTCAAACCTGAGGCCTGCAAAAGTGGATGCTGAGATTTTTATGAAATCTCATTACACCAAGAGTTCTAGAAATTCGAGACGATTATGCGAAAAGAAAGGCATTTCTTTCTATTTCAATTTTGGCAGAGAGCAGTAATGGGAGAAGACCCCTGTCCATGGGAAAGGACAACTTGTCTATTCAGTTTCAGCAGACGTAATCTCATACTGTTGAGATAAAAGTTGGAGGCTAAATTCAACTAAATGTACAAAACAGCATGAAGAGTATTATCCAAACTTTGTAATTTCACATTTCGCTCTATGTACACAGAAAAGTGACTGAAAGGAACTTCACCAATACTGTCAATACTCCTCGGTTGGCTCTTTCTGTAATTAGATGTGATTTTAGTGTTCTTACATATTTTAATTTTTTTATGTTAGGAAAAAAAATATTTAACAGCAACTAACTAGTATTTCTACAGTGCCAGTTAAATAACAGAAACTGATGATTGCTAGCATCCAACTGAGGTTTAACCAGTTCTTTCAACATTAAGCTATTTTAAAAACAAAAGAAAAGTTTTAAAGACAGTTTTAAATATCACTTTTTAAAAATATATATGTATATATTTCACACAATATGTTAACCATAAAGACATTTTAACAGTTTAATGAAATAATGCATGACCTTATAAAATCAGACTCTATAGATTATGCCTGCTGGCTGGAGTAGGCAGCTAAATGTCATTTCAATTTATTGCTCTTACTAAAAGACATAATGAAAACTTAGCATAAAAGAAAATATACACAACCTTAGTATCCTGTAGTAGCCTGTGTTTATTTTTCTCCCTGTCATGGACTGAATTGTGTCCCCTTTAGATTCAGATGTTGAAG